GGTTAGGCTTAGGATGTGGGTTTTCTTGGAGTTGGGAAGAGGAGCTGAGCTGCTCTCAGCCAATCTAGCGTCAGCTGTGGTATGTGGGAGTTTCCGAAAATAAGGGGTACCTTATTTTTGGGTCCTTATAACAAGGATCCTACTATTTAGGGTTTAGGGTTTAGGGTTTAGGGTCTGAGTTGCAGTGAGATGTTCAGCGAAGGGCTCGCACAAGACTCGTTTTGGAGCTGAAGATGCGTCCTGGTATGTCTTGATAGAAAGGCATGCAGATGTGTGGTTGTGAGTGTGTGTATGTGGTGTGCACTTGACTTAGTTTAGGCTTCATTGGATCACTACGGCGAGTACGAAATGCTGGCTTCCTCTTTTGCCCCCGTGTAAGGTTTAGGGATAGAGGTCTGAGTGATTGGTCATACGAGCTCAGGAAAGGGCCATGCCCTTGCCGGCTGCTGCAACATCGTCTCGGCGGCTTGGTGGAATTATGGAACAGTCGCGAAAACAATTCAAGTTGCTGGTCGGCCTCAACGGCTCAACTATTGGGTAACCTCAGTCAGTGGGGATTCTATTCTGTTCCAGGGCTCGCGAGGGCATATGTGTTCCGTATTTGGTGCTTTGCTCGACCTAGCTTTTTACGGTTCAGGACTAGGAATGTGGACCCTAAGCCCTAAACCCTAAACCCTAAGCCGTTGTCAGGGTTTGAGGGTGGCACCGGCAGTTCCTCTACTTCAGAGGGGTTTGGCGTCATGGGGTGGAGGGGTTTGCGGTTTGGTGGTCGCAAGGGATTCACAAATTCTATGGCGAGTTTGTTTACACCAGTTTCAGGATTTAGGGTGGTGTTCATGAAACCCTAAACCCTAAACCCTAAATCCTAAACCCTAAAATCGCCTTAGTGGTCATCGTGTCTGCATGGCCTTTGTAAAATAGTCACACGCAACATTGGGGCTTCTGGAATTCCGGACGTCGTTTTCGGGTGACGGTGGTTATAAGATAATATAGGGGCCTCAATAACTACCTATATTATTTTGGGGGCTCGTTATTGTAACTATGGTATAATAGTAATATAGGGGCCTCAATAATTACCTATATTATTTTGGGGGCTCCTTATAACTATAGTATAATGGGCCCAAAACCCTATTCTAATTATGAGGGCCCCTATATTATGAGACACTATCAAGGCCATCGCTGAGCCGGGGCACATCAAGCACTGGGCGGCGAACCCTCCCTACATCACTTTCGGAGAGTTACCTCGGCTTGAGACAGACTTTTCGGGGCTTTTTCCTGGCTTCCTTTTCCAGGTTCGGGAGCACACGGTTTGCACGGCTTCGAGGCTTCAGGGTTTTGGGTTTGGGAGGGTTTCAGGAGTTTAAGGGTTCATAGGGGGTTCTATGTGGGTGGTTGTCAAAATTAGGGTCCCTTTTTGGGTCCTTATTATAATACGGCACCTATTATTTAGGGTACCCCAAAAGGGACCATAATTTTGACAACCACCCATGTGGATTCCAGACTGCATCGACCCAAGGAATTTATGGGGGAGTTGGGGTTTGCTGGGGGTGCAGTGCTTGGCAATGGTTCTTAACTTATGCAGGCAAACCCTAAACCCCTAAACCCCTAAACCCTAGGCCGTCATATTGCTCTTTCTGTAGTTCATCCACAAGTGTCACAAGTGATTCGCTTCTGGATTGTCCCATGACTGCTTGCATAAACCCTAAGCCCTAAACCCCTAAACCCTAAACCCTCAGCCCCCAAACCCTACAACCCTAAAGCCCTAAAGCCCTAACCCCTAAACCCTCAACCCTAAGCCCCCAAACCCTACACCAAGCTGCCCCTAAACCCTAAGCCCTAAACCCCTAAACCCTAAACCCCTAAACCCTAAACCCTAAGCCCCCCAAAAACCCTACACCAAGGGGGTTGTGGTGCCTTCGGCATCCTCCGATAGCTCCGCGCTGGACAGTTCCGTCTCCCCGCTTGCTTCTGAGGGTTCTTGTTGCGGTTTAGGTGTTTAAGGTAGGGACCTTAGTCATTAGAATAGGGTTTGGGGGGCCCCTTATTATAATGATATACCCCCAAAACACCTATTCTAATTATGAAGGCCCCTATGTTGGGGGTTTAGGCTTTAGGGTGGGGTTCCAGGTCCCTTTGAGGGTTCCCAACAACAGCCGAAGGGGTCAATCCAAAGTCCATCGAACCTCCAAGAACCCACAGCTTGCGTGCTGTCACGCGGAAACCCTAAGAACCCTGGGCTTCAGAAGCTCTAAAAAAGCTTGAACCCTAAGAACCAACATCCTACTTCTTCGACCCTAAACCCTGCATACCCTAAGCCTGTTAAGCCAGAAAGCTTGAATCCCAAACCGCTATCGTCGTAGAAACCTTGAGCCGGCCCTATCAGGAACCTTCACGTCCTTAGATTGCTTTTTAGAAACCCTAAACCCTAAACC